AGAAGGGAAAAATGAAGCGGGGAATTGGATGGAGAGATGAACCATGAGAGACTATGGACTCTGAGAAACAAACAGGGTTTTAGAGGGGAGGGGGGAGGGGGGATTGGTTAGCTTGGTGATGGGTATTAAGGAGGGCACGTACTGCGTGGAACACTGGGTGTTATATGAAAACAATGGATCATGGATCATCACATCAAAAACTAATGATGTATTCTATGGTGACTAACATAAGATAATAAAATAAAATTAAAAAAAAAAAAAGAAAATACTTCCACACACAACATTTTAGTATACCTAAAATGGCAACTGAATTGCCTTGTATGCATCTGTATTTATACAGTATGTCTCCTGTATGTCTACATACACATACATACTCACAGATTCATTTCTCAACATTTTAGGACTGAATTGAACCATGGTGACAAAATGAACCATAGGTAATAAATTTGATAATCCATCATTGCATAGGTAAATTTTTAAAAAAGCACAGAAAAATTTTGCTTTACTATTTTTCTATAGCTCATGGTGTATTTTGTGTGTTTTGGTGATCGTAAAAAGTCAAATGTCTTTAACTTAAAAAATAGGAATGGAATAAATATATTTTTCATGTTTGCTTTTAAGCTCTGACTGGTTTACCCAAGTTACTTTAATTATATTTAAAGATGCACTCACACATACATATTTAAATAATTCTTTGATAGAAATTTTACTATTAAATGGTATATAGTTAATTGAATGTTTTCTGAGTATTATGAAAGAATAATTTGGTGAATACCACCAATTCTTTAGCAACAGAATTCATAGTAAAGCCTGTTGAGCATGGATTATTGGACTTTTTATAGCTCTAACTTTGAAAAAACATCAGTCAAAATAGGTCCTGTTATGTAACTCCAGTAAAATGAATTTTTAAAGTATTAAAATATGCAGCTTGATTGCTAACATGAACAAATTTACTTGGATAACTTAAAGACATCTTCAAATAAAATATAATATCTTTGATTGTGGACATTGCCAGAAGGTCACACCCTGTTTAGAAGAGTCTTTAATGTTTCCTGAAAAACTGTTAATGAATTGGGTAAAGATCTGGGGCTACTTCTTTTATATTAGATAGCTCTAATATCATGGCTTTTTTTTTCTTTTTTTATAGGAAATATATTTTAATTATATTTGTAATTTGGGAAGTCTTATAATTGGAAAATATTATGTTTTCTACCCTATAGATCACTCAGGAGGCTGGAGAATTTATGATCACTTTTCCATATGGCTACCATGCTGGTTTTAATCATGGTTTCAACTGTGCAGAATCTACAAATTTTGCTACAGTCAGATGGATTGACTATGGGAAAGTTGCTAAATTGGTAAGTTATGCCTCAAAAATAAAGCATAAATTAAATGTGTATTCTGGATATTGTAGGAGGAAACCTAAGATCACATGCAACACTTTTTTCCCCCTCATTGATATTGTGTGCTTCTCACCAGGATAATTTATTTCAGACTAGATATGTTTATTTTACATGGCCTATATTAGCACTTGTAGCCACAGTTTTCTGTTTTGAGATTAATGTGGAGCAGAGGTAATTTTATGCAACTGAAGTTTGCTTTCTTTCTTAAAGCCACCAATTGTTTTTTTGTGAGATTTTCTAGTGGCTCCCTGTGGCTCCATGTTAGGTAGACTTGGCTCTCTCCAGACTGAGTTTAGCCCATAGCTTAGAAAACAACTACTTACAGATGAAAGTGTCTGTTAAAACTATAGTAAGAGGTTGAGGGAGGATGGTAAGAAGAAATGATTAAAACTGTCTTTAGTGCAAAAATGAATTTCTTGAAAGTAATGTAGAACATACTTTAACAAGAAATATATCTTTATGTTAAATTTGGTATGAAATTTTGTATCTCCTGCTCAGTATATTTAATTTATTACACAGACTGTGTATTTTCATTCACAAGCCACAGCTTCTGTTAAATTTAATTAATCTCCCCCTGTGGTCTTAAATAGAGGACATCTTCAAAGAGGTGGTAGCTTCCATTAGGTTGCTTTCTTTCCTATGGCTTTGGAGGCAGAAGTAGAGGCTGGCAGAGGGCAGCTTCTAAATGAAACTATGTATTTTACAGAGTATGTAAAATTGACACAGATTTAATAGAAAATGACATATACAACTTATGTGGCTGTATCTTGGCCACTGCATGGTATAAGTGAGTATTATTCATTCTACATTGATAAAACTTGCATGTAGAACCATTGGGTGAACTTGGATAGAAATATATTCAGGGAAGAGAACACTAGGTTTAATTGAGATGTGTATTTAGAAAATTACATAATATATTAAAATAGAAGTATAGCCCTTTGGCAGCCTAGGAAGCATTTGTGTGAACTTGTGAAAAAAGGAACGCTCCTGCTATTAGAAGACTTTTTCTGTTCTAATTTCTATTTATGAGGGGTAATTTAGAAAGGAACAGAACTGAACTACTTCTTCCCATTACGCATCCTTCATATTATAATAAACCTAATAAAAAAATAGAAAACTCAGTGTATGTGCCAGCGCCTTGCAGTGCTTTCACAGAAAGGTAATGCTTGTATCTACATTGAAATAGAGACATAGACCCGTAGTTACAGCAAGGTATGTTATTTTATGGTTTGCCTCTTTAATCATTGACATAATAAGTCAGCTATCACAGCTGTTCAGTTACCAGAAAAATTAGTTGATGCTTGTTTACTGTGGGTTTTAGATGTAGTTCATTGTATTGATACCATGGGGAGAATAGCTTCTCCCCAAAACTAAAATGTTCTTAGTGGGTTTCCACATTTCTTTGTGCATGTAGAATGGGACTGGGGTATGACCAAGGAAGGGAGGTTGGGTAGTGGTTTCGTCTCTGAAATCATAGCTGACAGAGCCTAGGATTGGGGGACTGTTAAGAAGTAGCACACTGTGGTGGAGGAGGCAGGGATCGAAGGTCCAGCTTTTCTTCTAGCTAGCCATATATCATTAGGAAAGTGATTTATTTATTTTGTTTGTTTTTTCCTGTATAAATTAGAAATACCTCTCCACTCCATAGATTTGTTATGATGGGGAAAAACCTTAGGTATGTGGGTATCCACTCATGCTGTATTGATTTATATCATTCAGTTTAGTTAAGGAATATGACTGTCTTTGTTCTGGTATTTTGCTAGGTACAAAATTGTTCAATGACTCTGACGCAGTTTTGGCTAGTTAGATAAAAATTGTCTTAATTGCATGCATTTGAGATGTTTTTAGGTGTTGTCTCCACCCTTCCCTTAGTTTTGGTGATGTATTTGTTTTCTGTTGCTGTTGTAGCAAATTACTATAAAAGTAGTGGTTTCAAACAATACCCACTTACCATCTCATGGTAAGTTTGATATTAGTCTCACCAAGCAAAAATCAAGATGTTTGCAGGGCTGCTTTTCTTACTGGAGACACTGGTGAAGAATCCATTTCCTTGCTCAGTCAGGTTGTTGGCTGAATTCAGTTCCTTGCAGTTGTAGGACTGAGTTCCCATTTTCTTGTTGCCTGTCAGCCAGGTCTTTGCTCCTAGAGGCATCTCTCAGGTCCTTCCATGGGGTCTCCTACATTTCAGAGCAAGCAATCATATAAGATGACATTCACAAATTGCAGGAATTAGGACATGGGTATCTTTGTTGTTGGGGGTGGGAACGTTGGGGCAGCGTTCTACCACAGAGAGTTCCAATTAATAATTGACATGGTGAAATATTAAGAATCTTCTTTGAGTAGATGTAACTAATTTTAGTTATTCTGTACAAGAACTGGAAACTAAATTTGTAATGGATACAGTTTTGAATGTTTCAGTAAAACATACTTATGCTTTCTTAAATTATATCCCTCAATTTTAATATTTTCTTGGCTCTCAGTAAATAAGTTCTCTTATATTGTAGGGCGCTCTGATGGCATTTTTGTGCATATTTTGGTGTCTTTGTCATTTATTTGACACATTTTTATTGCTCTCCAAGGCTATTTCTTTACACAGCCATATGAATACTGTATCATGTGTATGTGTGTGCATGTGTGCATGCATGTTTGTGTAGTTTTTAATCTTGGGAAAATTTGTGAATTGGGCAGTTATTTTTTGTGTTTTGCTGGGGATAAATGTATAATGGATTAATTAGGAACTGCATTTGACTTTTAGCTTTGGGATACCTGGGTGGCTCAGTCAGTTAAGCGTCTGCCTTCAGCTCAGGTCATGATCTCAGGGTCCTGGGATCGAGTCCTGCATCGGGCTCCCGGCTCAGTAGGGAGCCTGCTTCTCCCTCTGCCTGCTGTTCCCCCCTGCTTGTGTTCTCTCTCCCTCTGTCTCTCTCTCACAAATAAATAAATAAAATCTTTAAAAAAAAGACTTTTAGCTTTGAAGATGCCTAAGTTAATTCTTAAACTAACAAATTTTTGCCTTCTTAATTCTTTGCTTTATCCAGTTTATTCTAAATGACAGCTATTAAGAAATAGTTATTGTACTCAGGGATAGTTTTATATTCACATATAGTAGCATCTGAGGGGTCCTGTAAGTCCTATCTATCTATAAATATCTCTCCTTCAAGTACCCAAAGTTTTATGCCTTTATGTTTTTATGGTTATTTGGGATTAGAGCACCTACAAATACATATGTACTTGAAAAATATATTTTAAGGCTTTAGTTAAAAAAAAAAGAAATAGTTATTATTCACAAGTGATGATGAGGTATGCTTTTGAGGGGGGCACATAATTTAAAAAATAATGGTGTGCTTTTTCATAGTTGAACCCCAGGGGGAATGAGATCTCCTTTACCTGTCACATGGGGTTGATATGAGTATATAAAAGCTTCCAATACAGTCTCTTTGTGGGACAGAATTAATGTGGTACAGCATGTGGGGTCTCTACTGGTTACATTTCATATATTACAAACCAGTATTTCTAATTTGATGACTTAGAAAAGAGCTTTACAAAAGCCTATTTTTTAATTGAAAAAAAAAAAAACAGCAAAACATTAGGTTTTGAAAGATAACCCCAGGGTCACTGGTAATGTTGGAGATATTGGTGATTTTTATTCAGAAAAATCCTGTACGATACTCTAGAACAGAAGGGTCTTGCCTTTAAGAGAACTCACCTGCCTAAGAAGGGGGTTATGTAATTTCGCTCCATTTCATTGATCAAAGGTAAGGTTTTCACTGAAGAAAAATTGAGAGGAATGTTCTAGGTAGCTACGTGCCCATTTGCCTACTGAGTTAGGCAGAGTTCAGCTTCAAAGAGTGCTCAGTGAGTTCCTCCTTTGCAACAGGAATTGTGCTACATGTTTGTACAAAGAAGAAAGACATGTTTTCTTTGTCTTGAAGAGCTTTTATAAAGAGCAGAGGGGCTTTTAATAAACCTCCATTTTCAAAACTGTAGTATGAATAGAACATACTATCTAGTTATTTATTTTAGGCATCTTTATAGCATTGAACATCAGAGTAATCTAGAATGAAATGCTGTATTTTTTTCTGATAGAGATTTAAAACTATGTAGCACTTTAGCAATTGAAATAAGATATTGGTGCATATTTGAGATGAATGTTTTCCATTTCTGGAGCATTCTCTCCTTCTGTGGTGCAATGGAGTCCATGATTACTTCTGTACAGGAGCTGTGGTGGCACTCACAGGTCTGCTTCCTGGCTAGGTTGGATCGAAGAGCTGGCCTGCAGGTTGTATTTCATTTTTCCGTTTGGTAGGATGAAGTGCAGTTGTTTTGATGTTAGGTTTGATGGATTTGTTTGCCACTGCATTCATTAGCTTCACATCAAAAAACTGACAGGCTGTTAAATGAAACTTTGGCTTAGATTTTCAGCTTGACTGTTTGGAGACATTTGTGAAGATATTTTGTTTTTGTGTCGCGGCAGCCTCAAGCACTGTGATTGTCTCAAAGGGAAGAAAAGTTATTTACTGTACTGATTTTCTTGAGTAAAAAAGAACCATTGTCTTGGGGACAGTCATATCTAGCCTACACCATCAGAAGTAGTGTATTTATGACCATGTGTGCAGTGTGAGAGACTTATCTATGGCACGATAAATAATGTTATCTTCTTGGAAGGAAAGGTAATAGTTGGTGGCTCCAAAATGATACCTCTTATTTTGCATTAATTTTATTTTAGGTGATAATCTATTAACATGATATGCCAGAAAGTTGAAAAATTACACTGCAGAGCCAGGAATGTTCTCTCATGAACTTCAGGAGCATTACTTCACAATATAATTTTAAAGCATTCTGACATTTGAATCCTTAAATGTTTGAACAAGTTTAAAAAGATAGAATTTTGAAATTGATTTACCTTTAATCTGGAGTGGATTTCAGTTATTAAATTGTCTTGCCTACAAGAGCTG